AATACATAAAGAATTGATCTGTATGCTGTCAAACTTCCCAAGAATATCCTCACTGTCCAAAACACCAGACTGAAATTCACAGGCCGTTGCAGGATTCCAACCAAAAAGATAGTTATAGGCAGAAGGAAAAAGTCAGATTTAGTTACTATGTGACGTCTGGGGATATTCATCAACCTTGTCTGAATTTTGGGCAATATGTATAATAGGGCATTACAGGGCTTTCCTTAATCAAAAACTTAATATCATCATGAATAAGACATCTAGAAGAAGCATCAGATAAGTTCTTTAATACCATACATTAACTCTAGTAGGGGATTGACATTACATTTCCCATAGGTGGAAGGGTCTTCTAATTATTGGTGTATTTCTTTTATGTAGTCATCCCTGTTAATGACCACTTTTACCCCACCCTTATCTGTTTGAGTTATTTCTAAGACTTTCAATGGATCTGTATTTATCTGTCTAGGTTAGGGAGAGTGTGGTCATATTCAGAAGCAAACTAAATGTTTTTTACCAGCTTTGGTAAAGGTTTCAACCTATGCTGAGGGTCGAGGACAGTAGGGGCTTTTGTCCAACTCCCTGGCTATAAGAGCTGGTGTATTATTATTTCCTGAACCATCCTTTCTAGGTACCCTTGTTGCAACATTCTGAATGTTCTAATGCATCTCTCAAAGTATATCGTCAATTCAAAAGGTCCCGGTTGTTTATATTTATTTTATGTAAGTTAATTACATGTAATATGTTTATTCAGACAATCCTGTCATTACTAATGACAGAAATAAATAATTTTCTAAGTCTAGATTTTTAAATTAAGCATATTAATTTCAAAAGGGATCAGTAATGCTATGCTTCCAGTCATGGCGTATGGATTATATTTTCATTTTAAAAATCCTAGATAACTTCTAAAATCTATAAGGTGAAACAAGGAAGGGAAACAAAGTAATATAATAGACCTACCTATCCTATATACATTGTACTTTCTAATTCTCACCAAAAGGTTTTCCCCTTTTTATACATGCAGAAACTGTAAATATTTTGATTTGAACTCAGTTTTTGGTTGTTGTTTTTTTCTTCATTATCACCTGACACATTACCTGTCATTCAAACTTGCTGGTTTGATTGGTTCATCGTCTCCATAGCAACTAATACATAAATAAAAACACCAGAAGAGGTGTAACTTTTGGTTTTCATTTTCTAATTCCCTCTGCACTTAAAGATTATACTTCCTGTGACGATCTGAACCTAGTCACTGGTTCTTGGAGGAGCCTGCTAGCCAGCATCTTACCCTGTGACTATGGCCCCTGCAATAGACCTGGCTAAAATACTTTAAAAGGCTCTGTTCATGTTTAGTATGTACTTTTGTACTCCAGACAGAGAGACCGACCGTTAGCGCTAATTCTCTGAAACTCTTTTATGCATGGGACCATCTGCATGGTCGGTTAAAAATAAGACTTCCAGGAAATTCCTGAACCCCTGAACTGATCTGGGTGATTTTTGGATATGTTGGTCATCCAGATCAGGGCTATCAGGGGTGTGGTTTTATGAATTTTTAGGGTACTTTTGAGGTGTTTTAAAAAAGTATGTTTTTTTCTGTGCTTGGAGATAATTGCATTAGAATTAGTACAGTTACTGATCCAGTTATCTCCCAAGCAGAGGGGGAGTGATTGTGTGCTATGTGTGGGAGTGCCTTACATTGTAAATGTATTATTTGTTTGTAAGTTTGTGTCCCTGTCCCCAACAAGGTCCATATGGGCCTACACCTTGCTTGGGGACTTGCTTAAAAGGCCAGTGTGGCTCCCATTAAAGAGAGATTTGTTTACCCCTTCATGAAGTCTTGGCTCATGTTTAAGGGATTGGAGAACTACATTCACTCTGGGGATTGCTATAATCACTATACTCCCCTGAGTATAATCACTAGCTCTTATAAGAGCTGTTCCTGCTACTCTCTCTGGACTAGGAGAGGTCTACCCACTGGAAGCTGGATCCTGGTCTTGGGTCCAGGATGGGTGGAAGACTGAGAGACCCTAAACAAGCAGCGGCGGTTCTTGGGTGGTTATAGTGTTCCAGTAAGGTGCTTATGGTCCTCGCAAGTTCTAGGAAGCAGCGATTTACGGAGGTACGCGGTCGGGGTGCCAGGCTGTCCATCACACTCCCCCTCATAACTTAATATTTCTTCTCTTTTCATCCGCCTTCAAAATATCTTCGCTATCTCGCACCACAATTTTGTTCACCTCTGCCTACGGTTTCTGCTGTTTGCCCTTCTGTGAGATTTTTTATTTTATTTATTTTTTAATGATGAGTAAACTTGACTGTCAACTGAAACCTTAAGCTTTAATACCGGGTCTTAAAACTTCAAATATGGGCCTGGATTTTTAAAAAGCTGATTTTTTTTTTTTGCCCACTGGCACTGCCAGTGAGCATATAATTCTAGATTTTCCTAGTTTTGACATCAGAAACTATAAATTTTATTAAAGACAGGAGTTAAGTATTGTGCATTAACGTTCTTTACTAAGCTCCATCAGCAAAGACATTTACAATAACGTTTTAATGATTAACAGAAAAAATATTCAGTAACTGAAATGGAACACTCAATCAGCATCCAACATATACAGAATGATTCCCAAATCTCTTTCCTCTTTGGAGTTGCGATCATAGAAGAATATAACCAATACAAAATTCTGAGGATGAGAACCAATCCGAACTTTGATCTAAACCATGATTAAACTAAAAAAATAAAAAATAAAAATGGGAGGTATAAAACTCACCTCCTGTCTTTAATAAAAGTTGCATTTGCGGACTTCAAGACTAGGAAAATTTGTGTTACAAAGAGGAGGCTCATATCATGGATGTTAAAATCTGAACAACAATACAGAATACACATAAAACATACATATAATGACAAAATTACATCTGAAACATGCTAGTTGGTCATACTTTTGTAGACAATTAATTATGGTCACCCCAAGATTCAATTAATTGGAGGACCAGAGTAATATCCCATGAATATTTAAGGCATGAAGGGCATTTAAAACCAATGTTTGCCACAGGAAGTAGACTCAATAGGGTCCTTATTTTCTGACATAGGTGAGGAATAAACATTAATAGTGCGGTGAGCTTTACCTGAATAAAAGGAGAAGGACAAAACATTGAGAGCGCTAGCTAAATCGGAATGTACGGGATCCACCAATTAAGCCAACATTTCCATGCCGATCCATAATTTGCATGGGTACCTGGTGCCCACGTTACTGAGAGAATGTTTCGTGTTGAATCTGAGATTTGTGTGACCCAAAATAAGTGATTCTATGAGACGTAGTTGGCTAAAATATGGTAGACTGCCGCTAGACGTGTAACTAGCCAGCAATGTAAACACTGCCTTTTCTCTGAAGAGATAATTGAGAGATAATTGGTTATTCTTTCGCTCTTTCACACTTTCTTCATATTCCTAATACTTTCCACATATTCCTCCTCTATCCCCTCTACTATTCTGGCACCTAAAAGTAGCCCTGGGTAGGAGGTAATTGAGGTCTCATGCCTAGTGGGCCATGATGGCCATGGGCCAGGCCAGCAGGGGAGATGCATGTCACTACCTGAGCACCATCCCAAAGAAAGCTCTCCATAGTCGGTCGATATGTAGAGGCCAAGCATGTTTGTAAAGAGTTCTCTTAAAAGGGGTTCTAGTGGTGCTGTGATGAATAGAAGGTGTTCTAGGCTGGAGGCAACTAAAGGGATTTCACACAAGAGGGAGGAAAGGAATTGTAAATTGGAGAATGAGCAAATTATGCTAAAATAGAGGGAAATTATTCCTATAGGACTCACAGACAAATGTTTGGTCAGGGCCCAGTCACTTAAATGATGACCCTGTCTTGTCCATGAAAATGGACACAACAGAGGAAGTAATCTAAACACACTGAGGCAATCCGAAGGGTGCAGAGTAGATTCATTCATGAACAGTATAATATAAAGGGAGAGTACATAATTTTTGCAAGTCTGTCATTTCCTTATTTATTAACAGGGTACATTAGAAATGTATTTCTAACATTAAAGATTTTTTTAGATATACCTTTTAGCCTTTACTGGGATGGTCTCACTGGGGCACAGTATACTTGATATAATTTAGAAAAACAATGCACGTATATTTATTTGAAGATATTAACAAGAATGTTATCACATTATAAGGGTTCAAAAACGTCCACTTTCTGTGGCTGAAAGAAACAGTGTGCTGGTTAGAGTTGAGCGGACACCTGGATATTTGGGTCCGGCAGGTTCGGCCGAACTTTGAAAAAAAGTCCGGGTTCAGGCTCGAAATTGACCCCACTGAAGTCAATGGCGACCCGAACTTTTGGCCACAAAAATGCCTCTAAAAACTCCTGGAAAGGGCTATAGAGCTGCAAAAAGAAGTAAAATGGGGGTAAGAGTAGGACAAGTGCCCTGCAAATCACTTAAAATAACATAAAAATTAAAAATACAGTTGAGCCGTAAAATAGCACTAGATGGAATCTTTGATTTTAGCTTTGGAAGAACATAAATCAAAATCTAAAGCATGGCTGTCAGGAGGATCAACAGAATTATCCATTTGAGAGAGGGTTGGAGTGAAGGGTATTCTCTTTCATTGTTTAAACTGAGCTCAACTCCTGATGCATGGAGAAAAGGCCTTCACAAGCCTCTGGTAATGTGTATCTAGTTTATACTAAGTGTCTCATAGGTTGAGGAGGCGGTGACCATGGCGGTGGAGGAGGAGGATGAGGTAGCCAACACTATTTTATGTGGGTTTTTTTTTATTGTGGTAGCCCACAAAAAATTGGGACATACAAATAAAGAAACATTTTCGGCCTGCGGTGCATTTCTTGCAGTCCTGATGCATGGAGAAAATGCCTTCACAAGCCTCTGCTAATGTGTACCTAGTTCATACTAAGCGACCCATAGTTTGAGGAGGTGGTGACCATGGCGGTGGAGGAGTAAGAAGCCAACACTGTATTTTATGTTTTTTTTTAGTTTTTTTAATTGTGGTAGCCCCCAAAATATTGGGACATATAAAAAAAAGACAACTGTTCCGCAGAGTAGCTGTTGACATTATAGTTGTGCAGGAACTTTGTTGACTCTAGAGAACCTCAGGCAAATCGCACATTCCCGTGGCGGCGACTTTGCATGCGGATGTCATCCATATCAACTTTCGATGCCAGTTTCTGCGCCTACCATGGTGACCATGGGTAACAGGGAATTAGCATTCCATACAGGGACCCTGAGAATCGGCTACCACATGCAAGGAAGGCAGCAGGCGCAAATGACCCACTCCCAACACGGGAAGGCAGTGACGATAAATAACAATACTGGACTCTTTAGAGGCCCTGTAATTGTAATGAGTCCACTTGAAATCCTTTAACTCTGATCAATTGGAGGGAAGTCTGGTGCAGAGCCACTGACCCGTGCTTGCTGCAACTGAAACTACACTATCACCTGCTGCTGCTCGCAAAGTCTCATGAGGCGGTGAGCGGGAAGGACGAAGTTACGCTGCAGCGCAAATAGGCGAGCAGCAGCAGGGTGACAACGCCAAAAGCATGCACAGCCGCTACAATGCATGTCACATCCTGACAGTGTCTGGGTTCTGGTCACTGGACTGCCCACTTCACTGTGAAACTACGAATGGATCGTTAAATCTGGTACGAACCAGAACTTTGCAGTTCAGGTTCGCTCAAGTCTATTATGGATCCTTTGATCGCTACATGTATTACTTGGATAACTGGTAATTCGAGCTAATACATGCCAACGAGCGCTAGGGGATGGCCGCTCTGCTTTGGCACCCTGCTCTCTCTTATGCTGTGCTGGTGCCTCTGTGCCACAGCACTTGCATGACCTTGATTCCATGTGGAGTCTAGGACCTCATCATCTTCCACCCACTCCTCAACCCTGCCCTCCTTGCCGGTATGCACACTGCAGAAAGCAACAGCAGTTGGCACCTGTGTTTTTTCCAGCATGTAAAGTCTGCAAAGGACATATGGAAATGGTTTTAGAATTTCCTCCAGGCAACAGTTTTCCCTATAAACTGACCTCTCAGTTTGACTTGTGAGGGTATTGCCCCAGAATTACAATATTGTTTAAGTACCTCTTAGCTATTGATAACTGGTTTAAATATAGCAGCTTGTTATCTGGTAGTTTCTAGTGTAGAAAATATCAATCTGTTTTCTATCACTTAGATCTGTGTAACAAGCGTTGTAGGTGTGAAACAATATTACAAGTGACCGATGTAGTAAATTTGAATCAAAGTTTGACTCTCAGATATGAAGTAAACACCCCATTTATACTATTAGTGCCCCCAAAAATGTGACTTTTTAAAAATCTAGTGTAAGCAGCAGATTAGCAGCAAAAGAATTAGAATGTTTACAAGTGCGCGGTAAGCACACTATTAGACGCTTTTATTTGACTTTCAGATATGAAGAACAGGCCCCAAAATGTACTATTTAGCAGTTAACCCAAAGTAGTGGATAGCGCTAAACGTGTTTGGTAAAAAGTGTAGCACTTATAATAATAGAGATCTTAGAAATCAGCAGCAATCACCAAATATGTGTAAAACATTCCAATATCCAGAAAATAATGTTGCGCTAGAGTATTACTATGTGTATCTAGTAAGTATATATCTCATCAGTAAACCTTCATAAAAATCATCTGAAAATATACATACATATATACATATATATATAGACAATATAGTGCAGACCATCTGATTTTAAAATATTCTTGTAGTGCACACTTAAATAGAAAATTGGGAGTTCACAATCACATTCACACTCACAAACCCTGGCTCTGGGTGGGATAAGCTTCTATGGAGAGGGAAATGTTCCCACAATCTGGTTCCTCAGAGTGGCCAAACATTCTACTGCAGCACTGTATGGGAGACACAACCAGGAGCACACAAATGGCACAGTATAAAAAGACATTTATTGTAAAACAATTCAAACTGCTTACTTAGCAAGATGTGGGCTTGTGACAAACAAGTTCCCACTAAAAGCACTTGTTTAAAAGTCAATTGCTCCTGTCACTTCTTTATTCCTGGCTCCGCCCCCTTATGACATAACGCGTTTCACCCATGTGACCTGGGCTTCCTCAGACATCCTCTTCATGCTGCTTGCTGTCCATTTGTATCCAAAGATCTGTCCCCCTTCATTTCTCATTGGTTGGAATCACACAGCTTGTAAGTCTCTCATCTCTTGCTCAAATTTGTTCATCCTGATTGAGCTCTTATAACTCTAACCAGTTACAGCTCACTAGATAAGTACATTGTCCTCTACCTTATATTGCAGTCACCAATCTTATATAAACAATTAGTCTTTTCTGCTTATATTCCCACTGGCTTTAGGGTGGTAAGGGGACTATCTACTAAACATGGTAAAGTTTACAAATATGTCTTGTAAAAAGATAGAAGTGTATTAGCCTCCAGGCTATATATAAACTTGATACAGAGGAAAAATAAATAGATAGAAAACCTTCTAAAATGAAGAAGGGGATTATCACCTAAATAAAAAAAGAAAAGGGGGATTATCGCATATATATATATATATATATTTTTATTTTTTTATTTTTTTTTAGCGATAATCCCCTTTTCTTTTTTATATAATAATTTTTTTTTTTTTCACTCAAAACAGACAATGTAAAATGAAGATGCAAATTTCTATTGGGCATATCCAAATCTAACATCCCTAAATAATAAAATATTATATTATTGGGCATATCCACATAGTAATACTCTAGCGCAACATATTTTTCTGGATATTGTACTATTTAGCAGTTTAGCAGCAAAACAATTAGAATGTTTACCACTGCACAGTAAGCACACTATTAGACGCTTCTATTTGACTCTCAGATATGAAGTGCACCCCACTAATGTACTTTTTAGCACCAAAAAAAATGTAAGTTTTAAAACTAATGTGACCACAGTATTTGACTATTCTATGGGACTCTCAGATATGAAGTGCACCCCACTAATGTACTACCCCACTAATGCACTATTTAGCACCAAAATAAAAATAAAAATTAAAACTCCGATGTAACCGTGGTATTTGAAGCTTCTATTTGACTCTCAGCTATGAAGTGCACCCCACCCTACTAATGTACTATTTTGCAGAATTCTTTCCTAAGCTGTCCCTATCAGCGGCAGCATCCTCTCCCTACACTAATAAGACCGCTACGCGACTCCAGCTTATATATGGAGTCTGGGTCACATGCTGCACTGGCCAGTCACAGCCATGCCATTAGTAGGCATGGCTGTGATGGCTTCTAAGGGCACACAGGTCAAACGCTTTTTGATTGGCTGCCCTGCAGCCTTTGAAAACGCGCCATTAAATCACCGAACACCAACCTGAACATATGTCCGCGTTTGGGTCCGGGGTCCAAAAAACCTAATGTTCGGTACGAACCGAAACTTTTCAGTTCGTGTTCGCTCAACTCTAGTGCTGTTAAATAATGTGGATGTCCAATATGTACGTGCAAAAAGAACATTAAATAATTTAACTGTAGCTATTAAGTTTAAAGTTTTATAGAAAAAAAAAGTTAAAATTTGAAGGTTTATAAAAAAAAATAAGTAATACGGAAAAGACAACATCTGTAGTTGAACCCCCACTGTAGCTGGTCTGTAAAAAAGATAATAAGGATGTGAAAAAATGAGGGGAAAGTTGAGGGGTTGAGGTTTAGGATTAAAAATGTAGGACTATTCCGTCCAGGTTCCTAGTCATGCACGTGAGTGTAAACAATCACATTAGGAAATCCCAGGTATGAGAGTTATTCCAATTAGTAAAACCACCTTTAGATACAACACAACATCTTGACATCAGTCTAATTTCCTCCTCCTTATAAACCCAGACAACAAAAGGAAGGGGATTTAATATTTTTTCCAGGTTATAATGTTAAAAGTTTAATTAATTTAGATTTTGTATTGGTTTTATTTTTAAGATGTTGAGCTGCTTGTATGATATAAAGCAACAAAAAAATTACAAAATGCAGTCTGTCTCAGAGTGTACTTGAGATCAGCTGCATGGCCTGGAAGTATATATAACGGTATAGTGTACTACGAACCCTGGCTTATTAAATTATAAAAAATGATGAGAGACCTATGGTGATAAAATAAAAAATAAAAAATAAATAAAGTATATACAAGTGATACAAAAATTCTATGCCAGACCAGGATGTAATTGATAGGGATATCAAGATATAACCTAAATCATAGCTACACCCTAATTGTCAGCTTTATTATAATATGCTATTAGGGTAAGGATACAAAAGGGGGGTACGTCCCATTCAATTATCTATCCTAGGAAACGTCTAGTATACAAATCTATATAAAGTATGCTCCAAATCGAGCTGTAGAGGATAGATGGAAGGATAGAGGTAATTGATAGATGAAAAACCAGTCAAAAAGATAGACTGGTAGTATAAGTTAAATTACAAAGCCTCTCTCCCTGTTAATCTAGCTAGACAGGCATAGAACAGAAATAGAGATAGATTAAGTATAGTGCAAAATCATGGTGCTACATCCACCAGTGCCCAATGCTCATATCAAGTGATATGAGTAAAAATGCCCAACGCACGTTTCGGTGCTAAAGAGATGCACCTTTGTCAGGGGCAAACTTCAGACTGATATGGAGCTCTCTTAAATACCAAATGTGTGCCAGGAGACATGAGTATCTTAACCAATGGGATCAAAGGGGGTGTATTCTCAGCTGAATGTAATATCCTTAATGAGGAACCTAACACCGTACTGCTACGGATCTCAAAGTGAACATAGGGGCGGAACTTCATGCCGATCACGTGACCCGACGTATACTGAGTCACGTGATCTGACCGTGATGACGGCGGTTCCTGTGATGGGCGGAATCGAGTCCGGAGGTGTAACCTGGTGTGGAGATGTCACTCAGTGACGTCTATCTGTAGTCCAGCCCATCAATGCACGAAATGCGAGAGAACAGAGCACTCCAATGTATGCCCGTTAGGGAGGAGCCTAGGGGCATGCTGTGACCGTGCTTATACATCTGTATGGATGCCCGAACGGCCATCTAGTATAATATGAAGAATACCCATAATGTGTATCCTCAATGGTGTCTAAGGGATGATAAGTCATTCATAAATGACAACATCCCAGATCAATATATTAATAAATCATATAGTATGGTAAATCCACTCCCTCATATGTTGCAGAGTGGATATACACTACAGCTATATAATTATATATGTATATAGCCATACGGCCAATGAGTGATTAAAGGGGTATTATCTACAGAGATAGCTGTCACAGCACATATAATCACATTTAGTCATATGTGTTAAAGAGCAAGAAATTATAATGATATACATGTCATAGTAATGGCCCAGAATTATAAACGTTAATATGACTATCTAAGTAATGGAAAAAATGTATCTGTCTCTATGCTCCCCTTGTGCCCATCTTTTAAGGTAGTTTTTTGATCTCAGTATGGTACTCATGTCTAGAATAAAAAATTAATTAAGCAATGAAAAAGTGCTACAAATAAATGAACAAAACACTACACACGTTATGTTACAAAATATACAAGTGTATCAGGAATTTATATACATATCTACATATTTACAGACGTATTCATATAAAATCTTAGCAGGTCTATGCCAGGTGTATAGAGAAAATTATGGAACAGGGATAATTCAGAACAAGTTATCCAGTGATAAAGGGTGTGTATGAAAAACCCTCATTTAAACCTGACGGTGACAAAGTTTTAAGCTTATAAATCCAAAAGCTCTCTCTTTGGAGTAATTTTTTGTCTAGGTCTCCTCCTCTTGGGCCAAGTGTGACTCTTTCGATGCCACAAAATCTGATCCCTTCGGAGGATCCCCCATGGTGTAGTTTCAGATGTTTAGAAAATGGAGTGTCTATTTGTCTTCTAGGGTTAATTGAGTTCACATGTTCCCTTATTCTCAGTTTAAACATACGAGAAGTTTTTCCCACATATAATTTGCCACAAGAACAGGAGAGTAGATAAACCAGACCCTTGGACTGTCAGTTAAAGAAATGTCTAACTTTGAATTCCTGTATCCCTGAGGAGTCTGTGAATGTTTTTGAAGGGCGGCGTACAAACTTGCACGCTTTACATTTTCCACATTGATATGTGCCTAGGACTGAAGATTTAAGCCATGTTGTTTTCTGGGGTGTATTGTTGAGATGACTAGGGACCAAAATATCCTTGATATTACGTCCCCTTCTTGCCGTCACTGAAGCCCTTGATGTAATTACCCTATGTAAATGTGGGTCTTGGTGCAAGAGAGGCCAAAATCTATCAAGGATGTTCATAATTTGATGCCAACCGGCGTCAAAGTTCCCTATGCATCTAATGATCTCCTGTGATGACTCAACAGTTTTAGAAGATCTTTACGATCTGACAGTAGTGCCGGTTTGTATGCGTATTTTTAACATCTATTTGGGTATCCCTTTTGTTTAAAGTGATGTTGTAGGGTCTTAGCCTTGAGTTTAAAATCTTCTAAAGTAGAGCAGTTGCGTCTAAGGCGCAAGTACTGTCCAATTGGAATCCCTTTTTTGAGGGAAGGTGGGTGATAGCTTGACCAGTTCAACAGGTTATTGGTCGCCGTAGGTTTGCGAAAGAGGGTGGACGTAAGAGCCCCTTCCTCTGACAGTGAAATGGTAAGGTCTAAAAAGTTGATTTTTTTGCCACCAATTTCACTCGTCAGTCTCAGATTGATGTTATTGGAATTTAGAATATTTACAAATTCTAAAAAGAGATCCGAGGTATCTGTCCAAATGACCAATACATCATCGATGTATCTCTTCCACATTTTTATGTGTCTTGTGTATTTTTCCATATGTTCATTAAACACCATTGTATTTTCCCACCAGCCCAGGTGGAGGTTAGCATATGAGGGGGCACAAGCCGTCCCCATAGCTGTTCCTCTCGTCTTGTGGTAGTATTTACCTTGGAAAATAAAATGATTATGTGTTAAGATGAAATGCATCAAGTCCTGGACAAATTGGTTATGTCTTAAAGAGACCACTGGTTTGCTATCCAGCATTGCTCTAAGATGTTGTAGCCCCACCTCATGTGGTATTGAACTGTATAAACTTTCAACATCTAGACTGCATAGGAGAGCATGGCCATTGATTTTGATTCCTTCTATGATATTTAAAGTGTGTTTTGTATCTTTCAGATATGAAGGAAGTTCAAATACCAATTTCCTCAAAATTTGATCCACATATAAGCTTATATTTTGGGTCAGATTACCTCTACCAGAGACAATGGGCCTTCCATTTAATATAGGTTGTTGTTTATGTACTTTAGGAAGTGCATAAAATGTGGCAGTGACAGGTTTTTTGACAAACATGAAATCATATTCGTCTTTTGATATTAAAGAGAGGGACAATGCCATATCAAGGATACTTTTTAATTCAGCTAGGTATTTCTGAGTGGGATCGCCCTTTAGTACTTCGTATGTATCACTATCTCCAATTAGTCTGTATACCATTTGGACCTACTCTGATTTATCAAGGATAACCGTATTCCCCCCTTTGTCTGAGGGTTTAAAAATCACCTCATCCATTTCTTTAAGTTTTTTAAGGGAGACATTTTCCTGTATGGAGATGTTGCTATTGGGCTGAGTTACAAGATCTTTCTGGTTAATTAATTCAATTTCATTGCATGTCATTTCCACAAAAAGGTCTATATATTTAAAATCAACTAGGTGTGGAGTGAACAGGCTTTTCTTTTTTAAACGTGTAAATGGAGGTTGTATTTTTATAGAGTCGTCATTTTGGATAAGCAGATCAACTAAAGTATCTAATGCACCAATGTCTGAGGCTTGTAGCCCTAGGTCCTTTGCTCTTTTCTCGTCCTTAATACGATGAAATTTATATAGGGCCAATTTTCTTGCAAATAGGTGTATGTCCTTTGTCCAGCTAAACTTATCGAAGTTGGAGACTGGAACAAAGGACATACCACGCTGCAAGACTTGTAGCTCTGTTTGTGTGGGAGTATAGGAGGACAAGTTAATAATCTGGTTGGAAATGGGAAAATTCTATAGAATCTTCTCCTTCTGAACTGTTGGGGTGGTCTGCCTCTGTTTCGTGTTCGAGGAGCTACACTTTCTTCCATGCTGGGTTGTCCTAAAAAAGATACCCCTCTTTTTAATATGCTTCTGGTATTACGTTCAAATGGAACTGAAGTGCCCCCTTTAGTAGGTTCTGAATCTGATCCACTTGTCTCATATTCTGATGTTGATATAGGTTCAGAAAAACTCCTCCTAGAGTTCCTGTTCTTCCTATATACATTCCCACTCTTAAAATCATTGTTATCTCTAATAAACTTGGAGTGTTTCCGAATTTTGATATTGTGTTGAAATTTGTCCAAGTTATTCTTTAGTTTTGACTCTAATGATTCAAAATTAGGTTCATCTTTAAAGACTGCGATCTTATTTATCTGTTCGTCTACTTCCTTATTAACTCTTTCTAATCTTTTTGTTTCAAATTTGCAAAGAATCTCCATGAATCTCTTAGAACAGATTCCTGCCGCTTCCTCCCACTCTTTCGTGAATTCCTCTTCCTCTATATGTGATGGCGGTATATTTTGTACCCTTAAACCCCTTGGAATTAAGTCTTTCTTTAGATAATTTTCAAGTGATGAAATCTCCCATCCTGTTTTTATCTGTTGCTGAAACAAATTGGTCAGCCGATTAAATGATGAGATAATATTATCATTCTCTGAAAGGCTTGTTAAGTCTTGTTCTGAAAAAAACCTGATCCATATCTCTACACCAAGCATCCCTTTTAGATTTGTCGAATAAAAAACTAGCCATGATACACAAAACGGTACTAATGGTATTGAAACCTAATTGTAAACGAAAAAAAGTTAGTAAAGAACACAAGGTTCTATGTCTCTGTGTATCCACCTGTATACACTCTCCCCAGGATGGAACAAAAAAAGGGGGGAGAGATCAACAGGTGCCCCACAGGGACTAGTGTACCGAAGCGAGATTCCAGGTATCTCAGAGGGGCTTAACCCCAAGTAAACAAACAATGCAACAAAAAAATTACAAAATGCAGTCTGTCTCAGAGTGTACTTGAGATCAGCTGCATGGCCTGGAAGTATATATAACGGTATAGTGTACTACGAACCCTGGCTTATTAAATTATAAAAAATGATGAGAGACCTATGGTGATAAAATGAAAAATAAAAAATAAATAAAGTATATACAAGTGATACAAAAATTCTATGCCAGACCAGGATGTAATTGATAGGGATATCAAGATATAACCTAAATCAAAGTTACACCCTAATTGTCAGCTTTATTATAATATGCTATTAGGGTAAGGATAAAAAAAAGGGGGGTACGTCCCATACAATTATCTATCCTAGGAAACGTCTAGTATACAAATCTATATAAAGTATGCTCCAAATCGAGCTATAGAGGATAGATGGAAGGATAGAGGTAATTGATAGATGAAAAACCAGTCAAAAAGATAGACTGGTAGTATAAGTTAAATTATACACAGAGACATAGAACCTTGTGTTCTTTACTAACTTTTTTTCGCTTGTATGATATACAATACATTTCTCTTAAACTCCACTATCTGTCGGCAGCTTTCAGTGTGTGATGATGAATTAAAATTAGGCAGCCCGGAACAGAGTTGGGAAAATTAGCATAGAGCACACAATGTCATTCTACAAAGTACAAGGATGGAAATTCACAAAATAATGCACACCTAGATAGAATTGTTTTTTCATGGAGAAATGCCTAAATTCATATGGCTATACTTGTGAAAAGGAGCATGTCTCAAACTGTAATTTTACACTTCTACAATGATCTATATCAAGATATAATGATCTGTATCGCAATTCCTTCTCCTAGCATATTATCATCCAGCATTCAGTTCTGCTCTCTTATCTCCCCCCTACATAGCACTTCCTTCAGTCTTACTACAAGCCAGTCTCATTCATCCTCCATTATATTAATACAGGTATCTCACAATCTCCATTGATGTCATCCCCATGTTTTATCTTGTTCACACTGGTACCCTACCCCTTTTATCATAATTTCTAATTATTCATTGCCATGCCAGCCAAACTATCTTTGTTGTGATTCATGCCATCCCCTATGTACCCTCTTTTCCCAGTTTGCCTACATTTCTACGGCTCAGGAGTCATTCTTAACACAATGTTTAGGTATGTTATAGACATGCTGTGTGAAACCAAAAAAGTTATCTGAACAAGAAGACACAAAAATAAGAAAACATATGGAACAAAATTGAACATACAATCAGGGATCTTTCAGTAAATACAGTGGTTACACTTTAATCTCCAATCTCAATGCATCCCATTGAGTTATGCTGCCAATTTGTTTTTTTAAAAGGATAAAAATAGTTTTTACATTTTGTTCATAGGACCTGGCCCAGGTCCCCTGTTCAACCATGGTGGGGAACACACATAACTCAAATGGGGGGGACGACGACAACATAGTAATGGGGGATCCTAATGAAATAAATAATGGGGGGACCTAATGTCCCCCCCGGTCCCCACCCATAAGTGGTCATGGGTGGGGAACTGGGGGGGGGGGGGACATTAGGTCATTTGGAATGTTTTTCTAACAATATTGAATCATTTGGAAAGTTTATTAAATAGAGGCCCATTTGGTAACGAAAAAGAACCCAGGTCAGACTTAAATGGGAAATAGGAAGTACATTTACTGTATAGCATAACACTGAACAGACAAAGTAAAAACACTTTGCATGATAACTTTACAACACCTCTACTTTTTATAATAATTTCTAAATATGCGACAATTAAAGTAGAAAAGTCCTATGCCTTCAAGTCTTAAACAGCCTGAAATGTAAGCAATGGGGGTGGACATGCTATTAGTACATAGTAAACAGTAGCATGTCCACTCCCTTCCCTTCCCTCCAGGTTGCAGTGGCATATTTTCCTTTTGTGCTGCCCTAGACATGACTAAACTTGGACACCCCCTAATGTAAGTGTGCCCCACCCCTTCCTGTCAAGGCTCCACCTATTCCTGTTTAAGACCAACACGCACTTTGACTGACAGACACATGCCCTCACTGTTACATTAACTGACATACTATCACTGAGATATACACAGTCATTGGCATTTGGCACACATACAGCTTAACCAACACATGTTTACTGACAGGCACACACTGACACACTCTCAGATACACATACACTGACAAACGCAACACTCTCATTGATGTGACATACGCTGGCAGACACATACATTCACTGACAGACAGACATGCACACTTGCAGATACACGCACTCACTGACACACACAAACTCACCAACAGACACGCATACATACACTGACATATACATTCACAGACACACACTAATACTGACAAACTCACACACATTTTCTCACGCACTCACAAATTATTTATTTTTAAAACCTTTGGAAGAGTTAGAGTGGATTCATTACAAGGGGTCCAGTGGGGCTCCTGTTGGACTGGCAGGCAGTTGTCCAATGTTAGTGGGGAGGGAGCTGTAATTGTCTTGCTCTGCTCCGATGGACCCTGTGGCGGAATCAGCCTCGCCACTGGGCATTGGAGAAGAATGATTGCCAGCCTCCTGCCATGTGACTATGGCCCCTGGGATGTATTGCCTGCTCTCCTGTACTGCTGAGGAATGCTACCAACTAGGTGGATTTGGCTATGGAGCTTGTGTAGTGCCCTCTGTTGGTAGCAACAGTAATATGCACTACCTGAATAGCAAGACTGGTAATTTGCATATTTGGGTAGATTTGCATATCGCTAATTCTGCATGCAGGAGAGACATTTTGTGTTAATTATGGTCTTCCCCACCCATTTATAAATATGTAATTATGTTATAAGTCACTGTATGTTGCCTGCTATGATTTGACTGTTTGTAATTTTATTGAGTTTTCACAGCAATGTTAATGTAATGATCATATGGGCTAGTCTCAAGTAAAATAAAGTTTTAGACAGTTCTACTTCACCCTCAATTTGGAGTCCTGTCTTATTGTAGGAATCTGCTACAAGGGATTGCTATGCTCTGCATATTCACTTGCTATAATCACTCCTAAGCTCTTTTAAGAGCTCATTCCTCCTTCACTCTGAAGGAAGAGAGGTTCGGCCTGCGGTGGTTCTGGTGTTGGCCAGAGTGCTAAGAATCCTCAAGAAGCGCTAGGAGCATCCATAAACAGAGGTACCCAGTCGGGGTGCCAGGTGATCCGTTACAGACCCCATTTAGGGATGCCGGAGATGGAGGGATGTCATATTCTAGCTCCCGGCATCACGGGAGCTAGAGAGCAAAGGAGAAGAGCACACAGCTTTCCCTCACCACCCACCAGCAATAGGCATAGCCTCCTGCTTCAAAGGCCCTAAAGTGGCCAGCCAGCCAGCCATCTCTTGGGCCCCCCTAGGACACAAAGCTAGCAAGGAATTTGCCGGAGCATTTGTGGAGTGGCGGCTTTTGCTGCCCCCTTGAAGTGTGCCGCCCAAGGCCTTATTAGCCTTCCGCTAAATGGAGAGCTGCCATTGGTTTTGCAAACCATAACTACGAAAAAAAACAAACACAAAGCTATAAAATGTTTCCTTGTTCACCACAGAACAAGATTTCACAGCGGGAAAAGTTATCAAAGCATTCCAAAGTTATGCCAGCTATGGCATTACGCCTGAAAATTGCTCATGCAATGTAATATCAGTATGAGAGTTTGAAATATTGGCTCATTAACCAACCAGTCCGTGTGCTCTGGCAGGCAAGTCTCAAAAGAAAACTCACTTGTTTGTGCAGTCACCTAATCAGAGTTAAATTATATAATTATAAATGCTTTAATGCTGTATATATGATTAATCTATATGAAAATGCAAAATATGTGGAACCTAACACAGGGGTGATAAATTTGCTTTTAATCTAGGGGCCACCTAAAAAAGTTAGCGTTTTTTTTAAACTTACAAAGCTTTATTTTCAGCAACAACAATACAATTCTTAAAGAGACATTATAGTCATCAGGACCAGTTTAATGTAGTGGCTCTGGTGTCTGTAGCCAGGCGCTGCAGAATTGTATGTAAACACTGACTTTTCAGAGCAAAGGCAGTGTTTACATTGCTGCCTAGTGACACCTCCATTGGCAGTCACTTAGACAGCCACTAAAGTGCTTCCTATCTTAGTGCTGCACAGTGTGCAGCACCCACATTCAGCGCCTCAATGCTGAACATTCCCCATGTTGATGCATTGATTCAATGCATCTCTATGAGAATCTGTTGATTGGCACAGCATTTTGCAGCGCATATGCAATAGCTTCCCGATACTTTCCTATGAGAAAGCATTGGATTGGCATAGATCATCAGTCATGATTATGTCAGCCATAGAGGCGGGGCCAGCCTTGTGGAGACATGCACCATGTGGGAAAAAACACCATTCCCAAGTGATCACCTAAATACATACACACAAACATACCATGACACACACACACTGAGAGACACACACACTCATACATTATTATCTATTTTAATGCAGTTCTATTTCACCCAGCCTCCCTAACTTTGGGAGAGCTGGAGTGGGTCGGTTTTCCGTGTGTTTAAATATTTCATAGAGTAACTCAGTTTTTTCTTACATTAAAACATGCACTATATATTTGTGCAATTATAGCACTGACACAGCTACATATAATACATCTCTACAACATGTCAACAAATGTATTTCTTTGTACACTAAATTGCCTGTCTCTTCTATTTCAGGTCAATGATACCAGCCTCCTGGGGTGTGAAGAGTCCAGGGCAGACCGCCTCATTCAACTGTTTTCCCTTTCACCTGAGGGAAGAGAGTTTGTCGTAGTGCTGTCCCCAGCAGAATCACTGTCTCCTACTTTCTCCTCATGGTTAGAGAAGGACATGGGTCCAGTGTAGGTCTGCACAAGAGTAGCCACCATCAACTGTCCAGCCAATGTTACTTGTCCACTGTCACTTGAACTGCTTTAGAGCCTGGTTCGGGCTATGAGGAAGCTGACATGGGCCATCGTTTACTTGAACACATGGGTCACACCTCAAATTGACATTGTAAGGTCCTGGGTCAGCATGGAGCAGCAGTAGGTGATGTAACACATGAAACTATAACAGAGCTCCAGTACTCCAACCGAGTACCTCCGTTGATGGATGCTCCTAGTGCTTCCCGAGGGCTCCAAGCACTTCTCCAGACATCATAGGCACTGCAGACTGAGCCTCTCTTCCTGCAGAGAGTGAAGCTGGAACAAGCTCTTAAAAGAGCTTAGTGATTATAGCTAGGAGAGTATGGAGAGTATAGCAATCCCCCAGTGTAAATGCAGCCTTCCCCCCCCCGCCCCTCCCAATCATGAGATGAGGCTCTATGTTGAGGGTCAAAACAGGAACTCAGCAGTCTGAGGGTTGTCTTATATGCAAGTTTTTACACAATGTTACCACCCACATGATTTTGTGGCACAGCCAATCAAATACATTATAATACAGTTAAACACTCCCAGTTAGGACACACAAACCCTCCCCTCTGCCTGTGATATAAATTGTTAATTATCATCATGTTTCATACAACATAAATATTCATACAATCTCCATAAAAGTTACATATTTTGAATCAGCATACTCCAAATACTCCCAAAAAATCTGACAATTCCCTCCAGTGGTTAAAAAGTTAGGTGGAAGTCCTTTTTGACCGACCGCACGCATGGCTTTCCTGCCCAAAACAGTTCCATAGATTTGGGCTGTACGGTCGGTCTATTTTACACTGAAATCGAACGCACTTCGATTTTAGCCGAAGTGTCGAAGTGGAGGAGAAGGTAAGGGTCAGCGGTGTTCGTGCAAATGTGTAGCCGATTTTAGTTCCATGGATTTGACGCACACACCGCTGAGCGCATTTGACTAAATATAGATGGCTGCCGCCAGCCTGGGAGGTAAATTGCCTGCACACTTCCACTTGCGTGTGGTCCGCCTCTTCAGTAATTGGTTCGGTAAGCCCCATTTACCGAACCAAGTGGAAAAAGCCAGGAACAAAGAATTTTAACAGTCTGGGGACTCTGAGGACACAGTTTTAAAGGGGCCATGTTCCAATTCTCACTATGTCCCAATAATGTGCTTAAAGGGCCAGCACCAGTCCATAAGCCCAAATAATGTTTTTAAAGGACCATACACCCCAGCGCCATAGTCACAGGGCAAGAGGCTGGCAAGCAGGCCTCTCCAGGACCAAGTGGCAAAGGGCACTTTGTCACACTGTCTATAAGCAAAGCAATAGCATGCCCCTGTGATGCTCCATTGTCTGGCACTTTAAGCAGACAATTGACACCCTCTGTGCCCGAATCATTGTCCCAAGGAAGTAACCATCAAACTTGGCAAGTTGTGGCAGGAAAGCTCAGTAACTAAACAATGACACTACATTTCCCCCTCATTTTCTTTAACCCCTTCAGGACGGAGTCAATAGTGCACGTTCTGATCAAAACAAAACGTAAACAAACACTGGAATTTGCGTTATATGTCTGTTCAACCGTAATTCACCGTTGTCACATTAAGTGCCCCCACACTTATTATATATAATTTTGTTCAGGAGAAACAGGGCTTTAATTTAGCATTAACTATTCATTAAAGGAACATAATTTATTCTGAATAAAATTAAAAAATGTGAGAAAATAAGATTTTTTTTTTTGAAATTTGTATTTCCGTCTGACATTTTAGCTGTCAATGTCATAATACTGTTAGATTTTACTGCAAAAATATGCACATATTTGTAATCAGCGATGTCTCACGAATACAACAGTGCCCCCCATTAACAGGTTTTATGGTGTTTTGGAAAGTTACAGGGTCAAATATACAACGTTCAATTTTCAAATTGAAATTTGCCAGATTAGTAATGTTACCTTTCAGATGGTGTGGTAGCCCAGGAATGAGAATTACCCCCATAATGGCATACCATCTGAAAAAGTAGACAACCCAATGTATTGAAAGTGGGTTATGTTTAGTCTTTTTTAGTAGCCACTTAGTCACAAACACTGGCCAAAGTTAGCGTTCATATTTGTTTTTGTGTGAAAAAAAGCAAAAAACTAATATTTGGCCAGTGTTTGTGACTAAGTGGCTACTATGAAAGACTGGACATACCCCACTTGCAATACCTTGGGTTGTCTACTTTTGCAAATGGTATGCCATCATGGGGGTAATTCTCATTCCTTGTCTACCATACGCTCTCAAAGGCAACATAACCAGTCTGGCAAATTTCAATGTCAAAAAAATTAAATGCAACCTTATATGTGACTCTCTAACTTTCCAAAATACCATAAAATCTGTACATGGGGGGGTACTGTTATTCTCGGGAGACTTCACGAAACACAAATATTAGTGTTTTAAAACAGTAAAACATATTACAACAATAATATAGTCCATAAAAGTGCAGTTCGTTTGTAAACTACCTTCCTATTGTATTCCTTAAAGCTACAGGAACTCGTCTCAGCAAGCTACCTTCACATTATATTCCTTAACGCTTCAGGAACTCGTCTCAACGAACTACCTTCACATTATATTCCTTAAAGCTTCAGGAACTCGTCTCAATTAACTACCTTCCTATTGTATTCCTTAAAGCTACAGGAACTCATCTCATTGAACTATCTTCATATTACAATCCTTAAAGCTACAGGAACTCTCCTCAACACATTATTCTGTATGTCGTGTTCTTTAAAGCTACATGAACTCTTCTCAAACTATCTTCATATTGTTCCCTTAAAGCTACAGGAACTCTTCTCAAACTTTCTACTTCTCATGTTCCTTAAATCTACAGGAACCTCCCCAACGACCTATATGCTCATCACTTCCTCAAAACACTATTCTGCAGTTGAGTTCCACTCCAAATCCATAGGAAGCATAACACTAGTCATATTGTTTTATATGACTAATGAAGCAAAATACCAAATATATTTTAAAGTATATCAACACTTTGACCTGCCATAATGTAAGAAAGAAGCCCATGTTTAATAAGGTCTAGTGGTCATGTTGGATTGCATGACCAATTTTGCTAAATCATCAGATTAGTATATAAAACAGATATCTTTAATTCTTAACTCTCTAACTGCAATATCTGCTCATGTGCACTGTCCAGGATTTTGTACTTGTTTACCTTGATTTCTGCTTGGTGCTATATTTGTAATACTTTAATTTAAGTGACAACATAATGTATGACGCTGTATATTGTATATTTACTATAATTGGGGTTACAAACAATAATAAACTTCTTTGGTAAAGTGACCTGCCCTTCATATACCCTCTGAGTTATTAATGTAATATTTCTCTATGCTTCTTTTATATATTTATTATATCACTTTAAATTAAATTCTTATTACACCTATACAAAATAAGTTCTTCTTAGGGAAACTTTGATTTTCCTGGGCAGCCCCTTTTTAATCTATAAATATTATACATATGATTCATTGAATAGACGCATTTTAAAAAAAAAATACGTGCATGAAAATATTTAAAAGTCTTTCAACATATGTCATTGAAGTTCACAATGGTTTAAGGTTTAAACAATGTGCTTTTTTTTACGTGTGAAACTAGTTTGTATTTACTCTGGTTACAACCCCTGGAGCAATATTTGTATTCAATGTTTGGTTCTCTGTTTTTTTTGGATACTCGAAGATTTCACCCAAAAGTTAAGTAGTCAGCATTGACATTCAGAGTCTCTATGCTTTCCCAATAGAGATGCATTGATTCAATGCATCTCTATGAGGAGATACTGATTGGCACAGCACAGCATTTTTTTTCCATTACTTTTTTTTCCCTCTCTTTCTTCCTCACCTTTTTTTTTTTTAATAATATATTTAATTTTTATTTTGTTCAGCAACAGCGTGTATCATCAATCAGCATAAAGAAATACTGGTACATCGTTACGGCATAGCTAGATTACAATGCAGAAGTAGGTATATCGTGCTGAACATTCGATCTGTCATAATACATCATCATACAAGACAACAAAACTTTACACCGGTGTCAATTGCTCTGTTCCTGGTTGTATTTGGTAGAGTATTTCTGCTGTATCGATGAACTATTTTACATTATATGTGGATATAGCTGCCTAGGCCATGTACCAGCTATAATCTGTGAATTAGTTGAGTGTGGGGTTGAGATGGTGACTACACTGGTGTTGTGAGCCTGAATAGATAGGCGACTGTGTGGACCTTTTTAATAAGTATTGGTTCCAGCAGGATGCTTGGATTTCCAATTTAGTAACATTCATGTTGTGTAACATTTCACAATATATAAAAAGAAAGAAAGAAAACTTAACATATTCAACGTATGCTTCTATAACCTTGCTTTTCAGTGTGCTTTTGTGTATGGTGACTGAAGAGAGGTGGGGAGAAGCAGCATAGTGTCTGCTGTGGTCTATACGTGTCTGCTTTGTAGAAAATGTGTCCAAATAAAGAATAAGTACTCAGACCGATGTTGGAGAGACTGTAGGGGTATAGGAAATATGGCACATATATGGTGGTTTTGTCCAAAACTAGCCGGATATCGGAAGAGAATCCATGATCTGATTATTAAAGTAGACAAAGACATAAGTATATTGACATCAGAACTAGCATTATTTAAGAAATTCACGGAGTCTGCTTCAAAAATTGACAAAATAATAATAGGCCACATTTTAATTGCAGCTACCACATGCCTACCTTGATACTGGAAGTCTAAGAAATTACCTACGCGTAAAGAAGTATTAACCATGGTTCTGGACAGTAAAGCAAACGAACTGTCTTACAGAAAGAATACAAATTTATTTGCAAAACTTATTTGGGACAAATGGGAAGAGGACATTAAAAAAAAACCTACCGTATATAAAATCTGAGTTTTGTCAAGTTCAGAAATACATGACTAATGTTTTGTATAGTATTTCTTAAGTTTATCAATTGGTATGGACTCCCTTACCCATTTCCAAGTTTCCCTTCCCTTCCCCCTCGTCGAATAGTATATTTGACTATTCGCTATTTGTTTGAAATAAACTATAACTTCAATAAAAACTATTTTAAAAAAAAATGTGTCCAGGATTCCCATGTTGAGGACGAAAGTGAATATCTGTTAGACAGTGAGGCTTCTATATCCTCCAATTGCTTGATCGATTCTAGCTTTAGTATCCAGTCTCTGATAGAGGCAGCTGTTTCGTTTTTTTTTTCTGTGTGCTGGAATTAGTGAGTTTGCGGGTGTGAACATATGGTTGAAGAGTATAAGTTACCGTTTCAGAACAGAATGTGGACTTAGGAGGAACAGTAAAATTTCCGGGGACCTAGAGATGCGAATGCCTACTATGGAATGTATCATATCTAATATCCATGACCAGTATGACTGGATTATTGGGCAGGACCATCTGATATGTGCCATAGTGCCTCCCTGTTGGTAATTTCTCAAACATGTATCCTGTGTGGATGGGTACAGCTTGTGGAGTTTAGTCGGAGAGTAGTGCCATCTGGAGATGCGTTTGTATGAGCTGTCTGTGGTGCTTATCGAGGAGTTGTGTATATAAGTAAAGATCCATCACCAGTCTTGTGTTGAGATGGTGATATTTAATTCTTGTGACCAGGAGGACGTAAATGGTGGCAATCTGTCCTTGTCAGTGTTGTGTGCTCTTTTATAGAATGTGGAGAGGTGTTTAGATCTGAGTGACTGGGAGGTACAGTGGGTTTCAAATATGGTTTGTGGACAGTCCCCTTTGAGGAGGTTTGGATTAGCAGTGATGAAGTGTAGTAGTTGGGCATAATGGAATTGTTGTAAGTTTCATTCTCCCTTGAGTATTTAGTGTCTCGCATTTTGGGAAAGAATTGCAAAGGCTCCTGTCTGTGCAGGGAAATTAGGGTTTTGTGTAAGTGGATAAAGCGGGGGTAATATGTGCCTCAAGGGAGGATTGTGGGAGTGTGGCCGATTTTAGTGATCGCATTGAAGGATTGCGAGGCCAGGAGCCTACCGCATTTACCACCGTGTGTGAAGTAGGTGTGTTTTGTGAGGAGCAATTTATTTTTGGTTCGGGCCATTAATAGTTGTGCCAGTTCTATTCTTTTAGTTACAAGGGTGTTATATGTAGAGAGGGAGTTGTCCCTGCTATGATTGTCCTGTAGTTCCTTGATCTCCTTTGTGAGTGTAACCACCCATCTTTCTCTTTGCTTTTTAAACCCGGGGCATTGAATTCTCACCTCACAATGCCTTTGTGGGCTTCCCAAGTGGAAGTGGGGGACGTGGAGGGGGAGATGTTTTCCGAGAAGTAGTGTTGTAGGATAGTGTGGATTTGTGACAGAACTTCAGGATTATTTAGTAAAAGGTTGTTTAAGTTCCATTGAAAAGATTTCACCGGGAGGGATGGAATATGAATGGACATTGATTGGGGCGCATGGTCGGACCATGTGATAGGACCGTAGGAACAGGACATCATCAGGTGTAGAAGGTCTTGGGGCAGGAAAAACATATCAAGGGGTATTTCCTGTTTTTAAGGGTGGGGGCTGCATCTTGTTTGAAGTGCGTAAAAGAAAAAAAGTCCACATCCGCCTTGAGCCTGTGGAGGTCAGACAAGACCATGAACCTTTTGTCTGGGGTGTTTAATCCTCGGGTGTTAAGAGTGACCAGTCTCAGGGTCGCCATTTTTACACAAGTGCATGTGTCAATCCCTTACCTGTGGCACTGTCAGATGATAAAGTTGTGTTCGGTTAGAGCGTACACTTAAGGGTTGATAAAGCAAAATAGCATAAACTGTAAACAAAAAGAAACAAAAATAACCAATAAAAAGAAAACAGATCACAATAGAGTCAAAATATCAAGTAGACACGTCTATATAGTTTTAAAATAAAGGAGTAAAGGTGGTACGGTCAGTACCCATTATCTCTAGGTTGCGCAAAACTAGTGGTGTCTGTCCCTTTGTAGATAGATTCTGCAAGGGATCCTAATTGACGCCTTGGGGTAGGTCACTATGACCATAGAAGTAACGGGTTCAAGTATTCAGGGTGGATTAGTGACTTGGGTGGGATGTGGGAATAAGGGGTGGGGGTTGTTTTTTTGCCGGATCCAGAGATGGCAACCAGCAGGACGTCTGTAGTGGTAGTCATCCAGGGATCGAGCACAAATCCTTATGTATCTATATATTGTATTGAAGTGGGCTTGTGTAGCGCACTTGAGGAGCTTACACGCTTGTATTTTACTGGCAGTGAATTGCATATTGGGAGACCCTAAGCGAACCCGACTGCACCCCTTGTGACCACGGGGAGGGGCCTACAGTGGGGTGTTGTATGGTTCCAGCAGCGAAACTAAAATAGGTTGTCACTGCTGTTGCTGATGGCTGAAGGAGGAGGAGCATGTCTACCATGCTCCCTCGTGGTTCCCACAATTCCCAGCACAGGAACCGTGAGGGAGCATGGTAGACATGCTCCTCCTCCTTCAGCCATCAGCAACAGCAGTGACAGGAATGCCGCCGGACCGGCGACGCTGCCATCCGGCACGGCGGCTCCAGTCTGGAACGCGGCCGGCCCCCTCTGAGTGTGCCACCAGACCGGCCACCCGGTGGCACCTATGTGGCAACGCAGCCCCCAGGTGCCGCGGCCCACCGGTATACCGGTGGACCAGTCCGGCCCTGATTGTCATGCATGAAAAAGGGCATTCATTCTCGGGACGAAAATATCATTTTGCCTCTTTATAAATCACTGGTAAGACCACAAATTGAATATGCTGTGGGCACCTGTTCTAAAGAAGGATATTATGGCACTAGAAAAAGTGCAGAGGTGGGCTACAAAATTAATAAAAGGAATGGAAAATATCAGCTATCAACAAATTTAAACCTATTTAGTTTAGAAAAACGTCGCCTGAGAGGGCATATGATAACATTATACAAATATATTCAGGGCCAATACAAACCATTGTGTGGAAATCTATTCACAAACCGGACATTACATAGGACACAAGGCCATGTGTTTAGACTGGAAGAAAGAAGATTTTGTCTAAGGCAAAGGAAAGTTTTTTTTACTGTAAGAACAATTAAGATGTGGAATTCTCTGCCTGAAGAAGTGGTTTTATCAGAGTCCATACAGATGTTCAAACAGCTACTAGATGCATACTTGAAAAAACAGAATATTCAAGGATATAATCTTTCAATATAGGGTAATAACTGCTTGATGCAAGGATAAATCTGACTGCCATTTTGTGGTCAATAACACATTTTCTTCCTAACTTGTTGCAAAATTGTGCTTCTAACTGTTTTTTTTTTTTTTGCCTTCTTTTGGAT